TGAGTTCAACTGACGCGTGAATACCTGTATAGTATGTGGGTAGAACCTGTGCGCTCTTTCAAGTAACCGCTCAACAGACGATACTGTACTGAGATGTTTATGCCGTTTCGAGTTTCTTTTTGGAAGAATTCACACAAACCGCAATTAAATTGAAGTTCTTGCTGCTTACTAAACCGTTGTGTTCTGTCACAAAGACTACAACTACAGCATGCAAGTCTACTTTGCCTCCCCAATTAGAGTTCCCTAAATCTGTGCACGATAAAATTGAAAATTATGAACCATTTGGTTGAAAGAAACGAGACGAAATCTATCTGCTCTTTTTTTTTTTTTTCTTTTGGTTGTGTAATCGGTACACTTAGAATGAATAAAGCAATTTTCTTGGTTATGTAACCACCACATGTTGCATTAGTCTCGTCTTCTAGCTCATGGTTGCACAACAATCGTAAATTAATGACATGTGATTGGTCGATCTTTTAACCAATACGATTCGAGCTTGTCAATCGCCAGGCCTAAAAATATATTTAACTTTCAACTTAGTTAAATTACAGGATATAAGAGGAGATTAAAAAGCTAATTTTAACGATTTCTTGAAATAAAGAATTTAAGTTACGAAGACAAAAGAGGGTCGACGAAACAAAGACAAAAAGTGCATTAGGGAAGGGAAATGTCTCTCGTTTTAATAAATCATTTTGTGATAAAAGCTGAACTCAAAACAAATGCTAAACAAATGGATTCTAAAAATAAGAAATAAGGTGGTTTTTTTAAAATTTTTGGTTTGTCCAAAGAGAGCTAACTGAAAAGAACTATTTCTGTAAGCACATCGAAAACCTTGAAAATTTGAGAAAGATTCTTCCTCAAAAGCCTTTGAATAAACCGCAAGAAAAATGTCGGGAAAAGATCACATCTTTAAATGTATTACGATCAACAGAAAACGCTTCTTTAAACAAAACCGTTCTATCTTAAGCGTAACGAAACAAATAACATTTTTGAGGGTGCAGGGTACTATTTCGATCAGGAAATTGCCAACCAAGAAAAACAAATCATGAAAACCACAAAGCATTCACTTCATTTTGCGACGAAATAAAACTTAATCAGTCACGGGCTATTTGCAGAAAAAATTTGTTTTCGAATCTGGATAAACAAACTGATTCCTTTTGAACTTGACACTATGTGGGGGACATTGACCAAAAGGGAGAAAAAAACCACACGACAGGAAGTCAGTGCATTAGTTACGGGATAATATTCTAAACGTAACCGACACCCGGCAGACTTTTTCAGTTTCGTGGGCAGTGGATCGGCAAACAACAACAACAAGGTATTAATTTTCTGAGCAGTTATAATTGTAATGTAATTTTGTGGTTTCAATTGTCGTATTAGCGATAAACGCGCAACAGGCGAAAACGACGAACAATAAGTCACGGTTATCAAACGCCGAGAACACGTGGCTTTTTCATAAGAGCGGGAACAGGATTAGGCCGGGTACGGCAAAAAAACCCAAACACTTCAAACTCACCATAGTTGATGTTAATTATGGGTGTTTCAACCACATCTGCAAAAAAATTGCCGCCCCATTTGATGGCGATAGGCAAGAATTTGAAATACACTGCATAAAGAATAAGGTACAATTGCTAGATACAGCATGAAAAAAGTTTCTAACACCTAGGAAAGATAAGTTAAAATGTTTGACATCATTGTTTTTAAGAGTCGTTTTCCCGTGATTCATTCCCGTCCACTCGAGAATACAGCTATTTCTTCAAAGTTGTTTGCTCAGGTTTGACACCTCTTACGTAATAATCTGACATACAACCTCGTTTCAGGGGCCACGTGGCCTCGCAACGAGGCTGTGGAGGTTCGTTGATCGCGAGATGTTTTTCTCCAAGATTACCAGAATGTTATTGGCAAACGAACAACGCCAAAGGTTGTGCGCGGACAACGAACAACACATAACCTTTACATAACATACGGTTAGAAATGATTGATTTATTGCAATAGATAAGTTTCTTTCCTGTTGTTTCAGTAAACAGCTCATCGTAAAAAATGTTTGACTCATTCCATTTTTGATAAATATCACTTCGTCTGGAAATCATGTTTTGCAAACAGAGTTTTACTCTACGAATTTTCGCACAGTTTTGAGGAAAAACTCGTTGGGACACACAAAACTAAGTTGGGTAAGCTAGCTCTTGTGTACTAAATTTAATTTCTAATGGTAAATGAAGTATTATCATTACATAATCAACCAGAGTTTAAACTATATAGTTTATGGAGTCTGCGTATAAGCTAAATTTGGAAACAAGTGGTGCAAAACAAAAGGTCACTCCTTTAATCGATGAAGTTGTTTTGCAACGTATAAGAATTCTTCAAAAAGCTCTGGAAGAAAAGAAACAAAAATCTCTTACCTACTATCAAATACATGTATTTCCTTAAATCCTTCACTTACTGGTCAAAACAGACCTGTTATAGCTCAAAGAATAGATCTTGTTCCTGTTATCTTGAAAATACTTGTTCAAAAACTTAACATCACACAAAATAACAAACAAAGTATAAACTCATAGTAAATCTGTTTGTTTAAGAAAATTTAATAACTTCGAGTCAAAATAATGTCCCTTTTCTCTTCCGAGCTATTTTATATCGAGTATCGAATGTAAACAGGGATTGCTACAGTTTGTTTTACTTTGAAAACACGTGCAAAACGAATTTAGAACAAAAGTGACTCGAATTCTCAAGATCCGGCTCCCGCGCTTTAGGCAGGTTTCTTGCCGTTACCTTGAGATGTCTCTGGTTCTTGTGATATTTTCCGTCTTTCTAATTGGCCGTTGTAAATTAATTTGGTTTTGGTCTTAACGACACTCGATCGAAAAATACTCAAGCACCGGATAAAAGATTATATTTGTAAAAACTCACACTGGGACTATCTAGTTTTCTTTTTTTTCCCCTCCTGATTTGCTCTGAATTTGGTACTTCAAAAAAAACTTCTCGATATTTTTTAACTCTCTCCATTTTTATTGCTGTTTGTTAATAACACTGGCAACTTAACAAGGTGTCAATTTTCACCAAACAATTTATTTAACCCATTGCACCCTAACATCGGCATTCATATTCTCCAAACTGTTCTCTGTACATTTACTAAGGTTAACGACAAGGAGAATTTGTCTCACAATCAAGAGTTTCTGTAATTGGTGATCATTCCCTCTATTCTGATAACATTTATGTGTGATTCAGTGGTGATATTGTGAGGAGAAATTAGATGCTAGTCATCCTTAGGGCTTCAAGGGTTAACAACAGCTTGCACACACATCCCAAACGCCTCGCTTGCGCAAGACACTTGAAATATTTTTAGCAGATTTTCTAGAGTATTTTCAACAATGAAAATAGGTGACCTTGGTCTTTATGCAAAATAAAGCGCGAAGGTGAAGTCAATAATTAATATCCACAAACTGTTTTGTCAAACAAAAAACCGCGGGAGGGCAGTAACACGTTTTCCCTATGGATTTAGGCGAACCAACAATAAAATATAAACTGAGGCTAATTTAACGCACTCCACACAACATTTAATGCTTGAGTTCTTGAGGTCACATGCTAGTAAAGCTTAACCCCACGAAAGAAAATAGCTAATGGCTATTTAATACGAATGAGTATCTAGTAAAAAAATAAAAAAAAAAACGAAAAAAAAAACCATCAACATTTTAAGTTGATGGCGGGTAAGCGCGTGAAAGTACAACATCAGTCAGGCGAGAAAAGGCGCGGAAAATTTTAGCAGTGGCACCACGCGGATTATTTCTACAAATTTTTATTATCCATCTTCAGTCTTCCTTCGAATCTCAAAAGTTGAAGATATAACTTCTTTGTGCGAAAAAAGAAAAAATACCAATGGTGGATCAATTCTTCGGCAGTCTTTAGAAAAGTTGACGATAAATTACTGAAACAACGAAAACTAAACGGGATTAAAACTGCAAACATGAATTGAAATCATGCATTTGTCCAATGTACGTTAAAAGCTCGCATTAGCTTCTTGACGATGACAAAACTAAAAAAGCAATCCCACCTGCGAACATTGATTATAAATTAAACTATCCATCGAGTGTACATGCAGGCTTCAACAAACACGTAACGCTGTTTTAAATTTTGTGGTTCAAAGATGCTGTGTTTTTCTTTTCTATGCAACAAGCGTATAAAACACAAGCTACTTGTACCGCCTGAGAACAATGAGCGTCTTCTCTTGCAAAGTTATTTTTCACTGAATAATTTAGAAGTACCAGACAACTGTGTCAGCAGGACGTAAGAAACATTGGCTTCAGACAAATTGCATCGTTTGCGAGATAAAGAAACCTGTCGTGTTTGTTTTTTGGACAACTACCTCTAACATAAAACAAAATTATCGAAAGGAATTATAAAATCAATTGAATTGCTAAAAATCATGAAAAAATCACGGAAAGATTGAAACGAGTCCCTCGGTAAACGAACGTCTACAAAAGTTGGTTATAATTAAAAGTTGCGTTGTGTCAATATTTCAGTGAAAACATTTGGGCGCGGCGGAACACGTTTTAGAAAAATAAAAAAATAGACAACGCTTATTTGAAACCAATAGTTGGTGAAATACGAGCAAAAAATCTGCGTTAATAAGAGAGCCGATCTCCATACTCAGTTCCTCAAATGGACTCAAGTCCGTCTTCTTTCCAAACAAATAGGGAGGTTGAAGCAACAATGCCGGTCATAAACTTTTAAGAAATATAACGCCCAAATACGTTTCAACGCGTAGACAGACCTATGCGTTGCACATGCATTTAAAACAGCTTATAAAATGCTATCACGTACCGTTTGAGACACATTTAGTCTACTGTTTCATTTTTAGTACGCAAACGCGCGCGCACGCACACACGCGAGTGCACGCACGCATAAACTCAGAGAGAACCATCACACGTTTGTGTCTCTATCTCCTCTACTTAAGGTTGTACACTGGAAACGCGTTAAAAAAGAGTTGGTCGAGCAAAAACAGATAGACGGACAGTTTTCATTACCTTTATTTTGCTGTTATCTTGTCATGATCACGGTTCGTCTTACGCCGGTCGCCGATCGCCCCTGCTTTGAATTTCATCTCGCTTTTAAACACTCGTTTCAAAGAAGACCATTGTTGAAAGTGATTTATAAGCCTTAACTCTCCTTAACCTTTTAATTTTTTTCATTTTCTTCGTTCATTGTTCCTTGTGAAACTCCAATTCCTTTACAACATTACGTTTGTAAAATTTATCTGCAATTCCATACAAATGCTTACACTTTGTCATCATGAGCCTAAATGTAGCTTCTTAAGATCCACCGTGTATTTGCTTTGAGTGAGCCGTTCCGGACAACGTTTTTCATATCTGCGGAAATCTATGGTACGTACATGTGTACATTCTACGGGAGCACTCTTAGCAACCTTCGAAGCTGGCCAAATCGCTCCCTGACAAACTCTATGGCTCAGAAGGTTAATTGTCCCGTACGATCAGTCGGCTTTCATTTAAAAGTTGACCATGTAATGAATCAGCCCAGACCCCACACATTGTTTCCAAGCCATCTGACGAGTCACGTGCCGTTGATGTAAACGGAGGCGAGCTCGGCTGCACAGCCAACCACAGCTCCCAACACACTCCCCCAGAAAACTATCCAACTTAAATGTCGGTAGACCGCGTCTTCGACCAGCTACACGTGCACAGATAAGGAGAGTCACGTTAACATCAGGTGAATTCTTAAGTTAAAGAACAATTCACCATCACCCAACTTGTTAACGATAGTTGAACAAGTCGTACTCGTTGCAAAATAATGGGCATTTACGCTCGCTGGGGTTTATCTCCTTGTTTAAACGATTACGATTTCAAGCGATCAATTGCCTCTCGTCGAATTCTCTCATTACGCATCGTTCCACAGCTTAGATCGTTTCATCTGCTCAGATACTCAGCAACAACTTTCAAGGATTTACCAGAAAGAGCACTTGCTCTTTTTTGTGAAGATAACTATTGTACACCTTATAACTTTCTTCTCCCTAAAGAAACCTTTCGGGCTGGTTATTTAAACAAAGTTTAGCCGTTGTTTATCAAAACCGCGTTGTAATCCATCTGCAAGTAAGCCAAACCTATTATCTGAACGTTTAAGTTTGTGAACAGTGTCAAGAGGGCCTAAAGCTAATAGTGGAAAGACATTTATTTAAATAAACCAACCCTCTTATAGAGAATCCCTGACACCTTCTGCTTGCTTAAAAGCGCGGTTTGGTTTAGACCTCATGTAAATAACCAGGCCTTTCAGTTTCTCGCCTGAAAAAATATCATTATTAACAATGATTTTTTTCCACATAACCTAAGATTTTCTTTTTTCCTCTTTACTTTATTCTTCAAAGCCGAGGCCAGATAACGCTATTGCTAAACATTAGAAAGAGAACATAACAGTTGATTACTCAAGGATGTCACTTACCAGCTTGACTTGTTGTGCGGACAGTTCTTGCGTCCTTGTTGAAATCAAATCCACAATCTTTAGAAGGAAAAAAAAAGAACAAAGACAAAAATGTCGCACTACTTGAAGGGAGTAAGCCATACTCTGACTGTCTGGAAATGCACGGTATGGGAGTGCAGTGGAACAGAAACGAGTGATGGAAACAGCACACCTTGCATTGCACCGAGCCTAGTGCCAAGGCCCCATGGAATAGTGTAAAATACTTTTAAAAAGTTAAATAGCACAAATGGGTATCTTCTATTACGCATTATCTAAAAGAATGCATACCTGTTCTCTGAGGTGATCCGCATTAAAGAGATCAACTGATTCAATTGATGAGAGTAACTACAAAACATTACAAAAACAAACAAAACAAAACATGAACATCAGCCATTCAACATAATTTTTATTCACAGTTCGCATGATGGTGAATTTCATATGATGCACGTACAGGTTCAATTCCTGTTGACGACTTTCTTCGACCCTTTGACTCCTTAGAGTGACTAGCATCTAATTTCTCCTTACAATATCAGCCCTGAATCAAACATCACAGTCGTGAGAATGAAGGACATGATCACCAAAGATACTCTTCACTAAACAAATTCTCCTCATCAGCACCTTGGGAAATGTAAAGCGAACAGCATGGAGAATATACATACTGACGTTTGGGTGCAAAGGGTTAAGATGCAAATGAAGAATTAGATAATGAAGGACAATAGGTATACTGCCCTTTTTCCTTACCAATGGCACGATGTGTGTTTTATACTTCATCAACTGAGGTTTTACAAGGGGCGCCAGTTTGGCTTTGGTGACACCAAGCATACGAAGTTTGAGACCTACAATTAAAAATCAGACAACATGCCACAAAGTCATTAACCTTCACTTTACAGAGGAAGGGGCTATTATACTGGTCTGTAACCAGACAATGAGCACTTGGTGGTTCCCTGTGATACTTAATCATTGCAATTTTCCCTTTTAAAAATTTTATGATTTGGGCATGTGTTAGACACAATTAAGCCCTTGCATGGGAAGGTGTGGGCATTGATAATGCATAAAAAAGCAAATTAATGACTAAGTTCATGTATGACTGGCAGACTGAATGACTACATGAATGAACTAAGAAGTAAATGTAAAAATAAACAAACAACAAATTGAACTACTAAATGAACAGCATGCATGTAGGAATGTAGGTATAGATGGATGGATGGATTGATAAATGAATCAAAGGGCAAGGAAAAGAATTTTAAAAAATTAACCAATGTACAGGCTATTGAACAAAACATGAATTCATCAGACATAGTGCATGATGCTTGATAAAATTTATGATATTGGACACTGTTAATCCAATAACAATACAATCCCAGATCCACACCCTTCCGTCAGCTGCACCCTGAGGTTGTGCTTGTTTGCCTTACCTTCAACTCCTTAAATGAAAATAGCCAACTAATTTATTCCTAACCAGGTGGGATTATTGTCACCCAAAGCAGTCAGAATTCAATCCACTAACCAACAAATCCATATGCTGCCAAATGAAGCAGTAAATGTACCTGCTGAATGGACCAATCAACTTACCTTCTGGTGTTCCCATCAAAACCTCCAACTGTTCATGAATCAAATCTTCTGCAATTCTGGAATTGAGAAGTTTCTCAAGCTGATAGTCTGTTTGAAAAAAACATATACATATATAAAATAAGATTCAAGAAAAATTTAGCAGCTAAACTTTCCAAGGCATGACTTAGCTAGACTTGCACTAAAAGCATCAAAATTAACTACTTTTGGTTCACAGTACTATTCCTAAGCAGAGAAGAAACTCCAATATTGTTACTGTTGCATTGTTTCACTAATTTTGCTAAGTTCTAAAAAAAGTGGAAATCTCCATAGTAACCAAGAAAAAGAACAACTTAAAAAGGCAAAGATATATCTAAACTGTCATAAAATGTATCATAATTTACCTATCTGTTCTACTGTCAGATATGTTCTCTTTTTGTCATTAATGTAATTTCTAACTTGTGAAGGACTGAAAAATGCCTCAAGAATAAAATTGGTCATCAGTTTCCTAGCAGTTACAAAATTCTTAATGATGGCTCCACTGTGGAAAAAAACAAGAAGACTTAAAATGAGAATTATTACAACTGTAACTTACTAATAATAGGCTGAGTTCATTAACTTAATGTAAAACTGCATATAAGTCAAATGAAAGTATAAATGTTGCTTGGCTATGAAACATTGGAACAACCTCTTCAAAGTCACTGACCCCCTTAGAGTGAGTAGTTTCCTTTTTTTCAAAGAATCCAAAGCTTACATATCGAAACCAATTTGAGAAGTAACAATTAAGTTTTGTGTTGCAGGAAAAATCTTATACTTTGACAATTGATTGCAGCCTAATAAGCTACAAGAATGCTACAGAACAAAGGGTAAAGATGAACTTCCCCCCTCAGAAGGCAACAGCAAGGGTCACATGCCTAAAAAACAATCCTGGAATCCTGTTGAATATCAGTTTAATTCCGACCCAGTTGGTTACTCCACCTAAAGCAACAGAGCAAAATACATCATTTGATGTAAGTTCATTGTTAATGCTTAAACCCTTCAATCCCTTAGAGTCACTAACATCTAATTTCTTCTTACAAAATCACCCTTCAATCAAACATTGAGGTCATGAGAATAAAGGAAATGATCACCAACTAAAGAAACTCTTGATTGTTGAAGAAAATTCTTCTTGTCAGAACCCTAAGAAATGTCTAGAGAGTAGTAAGGAGAATATGCATACTGATGTTAGGGTGTAAAGGGTTAAGAAAAAATCAATGAAGAACTGAGTTCCTACAATAACAGAGCATGTAATAGGTTCTTGCCGATTGGTCAAATATCTAGTTTGGAAGGCAAAATTCATGATGAACTTGGATTAAAAAAAGGGACAGGTTTTTTTTAATATGTGTCATGATCTCTACTCCTCTTGCTACAACATTAACAATTCCTTCTGTTAGTAAATCATCGCTCTGGACAATATCAATTATAATAAAGCAGTCCTAAAAATGGTGGCTGAGAAAACGGTAGGTAAAGAAATATAAGAATACACTGGAATAGATATCATCATACCAGTGAATCCAAAGAGCCCTGCTGCCATCAACACTTCACAAGCCGTCTTAATTACTGAGAAGAAAAATTTAATCATTTGTAGATACCAATTAATGCTTAATCCATTTGTAAATTAATCAATAATGATGTATTATCACTTATAACTCACCATCTATAAATCAATAAAACACTGCCAATGCTGTTCCATTACTTTAGGCTATTATATTTCTCAGACAAGTAATTTATTTTATTATAAGTTTGTATCTGAATAAGCTTGCAGCTCTTGCACATATTATTACAATAAATAACTGGTTGATTGAATGAAGAATACATGCTTGGCCACTACAGACACAAAAATGATGGGCTTTGAGCAATCTTAGAATGTATTGTATTTCCTCGTCATCAGCACAAAACCTGTATTGATTCTTCTACAGTTGCAATAGAAACAGGTTTTCCTTGTATCTCCACTATTTGAGAAAGTAAGGTAGGAGGGGAGGGCTTGTTTAAGAGGGGCACTTGTTTGATTTCATGGCCCAAGGGGTGGGTGCCTACCCAGGGGAATAGCTTTATTAGAGAATGGGCTCTCATTCAAGGAATTACAGTAATCTAAAAGCTGGCCAAGACAGACAGTGAAGAAAAACATTCACATGTATGAAAAAGCTTATGCAACCTCTATTCTAAGTATAGATTTTCTTAATGTAATGACTAATTATAGGCAACTAAAATATCTCACTTGCCTTTTTGTTCATTTTTTTGTTTAAAAACTGTGTCCAGAATTACACCAGTGATGAAGAGGAAGAAGGTAACAACAATACTGACACAGCCAATAGTTATGTTTGGTAAACTTCTCTGATATGTCTTTGGGAATACAAGCAGGTTAAGATTAAAAGTAGAAAAAAGAAAATAAAAATAATATCTGAATGCAGCATGAGCTTGTAAAGTAAAACACCACCATAGGTGTCTAAACTGGAGATTTTCACTATGTGTTTATGCTTTCCATAAAATATTAGATTAACAGGTTGGATTCCATTCAAAATAGCATTCTGCATTTAATTGTGCTACTGTGATATATCAGAAAGAGCACTTTAAATTCTCAGAACATGACATTTCTGCTAACCATCAATTCTGAAACTTCATAAAATATCAACCGGCCAAGTTATAACGAGTTCCATTTTCTTATTAGGATTGGGATAAATAACTTCCATGTTGGCCTAGTTTTCAAAATAACCAAAAGCAAAAATGTCTTTGATAAAAATAAAATATTTATCTGAAAAAGAGAAAAACATACAACTTCTGGTGACAAGTGTGAGGGTACACTTGCAGATATGCGCAAACTATCAGCATGCTGACTGTACAATGATTCTGAGTGAAAGGATGACACATCACTCATAGCTTGTCCATCTCGTTCCACAGAGAGACCTAGATTTTCAAATTCTGTAACCCTGCTGCTTGCTTGAGCGCTCTTAGAGTGTCTGCTTCTACCATCTGATAGTAACTCAAGGGTTGCATTTCTGTAACAAGACAATGTTATCACTTAACTTTACTTTCTATAACACTTCAGGTTAACCCTTTACACTATAACATCAGATTGCACTTTCTCCATACTGTTCTCTATACATTCCCTATGGTCCTGACAAAGAGAATTTCTTTAACAATCAAGAGCGTCTTCAGTTGGTGATCATTTCTCTTATTCTCAAGACCTCAATGTTTGTTTTAGGGGTGATACTGAAAGGGGAAAATGGTTAGTAATCACTCTTGGGGGTTAAAGATAATTTCAGCCAATAAATGTTTAAATATTTCCACTCCCTTTCCTTTAATTGACACCTTGCTTAAGACAGTGTTGAAGGTAATGTGGGATTCAATTGGTTTAACTTTATTCTTCCATGTGATCTGTCCAAAAAAACTGCCCCATCCTCTCAGCCAGTCAGATTCAAAACTTAAACCAACTGCCACTTGGTCCCTTGCACTTTCCTACACCTCAAACAGTTTGCTTTGTTTATACTTTGATATCTGATGGACTCCCTGTGATCTTTTACTTTGCTCTGATTGGCTGTTCTAGTTAATTTGGCTTTGGTTTTTCTGAACTCAGTCTAGATGTGCTTTATAAGGAGAGCAAGTAATGCAAACTGGGAAATCATCTTTTTGAATTTCCCTCCAGGAACTGTGCCTGATGCACAGAATAGGAGCAACAATTTGTATCCGGTTGCCTATCATTCATGGTAGCTTGTATAGTTGGGGTATATTTTAAAATAAGGGATCATAATATTGAAAGACAAAAAAACAACAACAACAATTGAAGGGGAACAATGGTCCATTTTACAGTTGTATGCTTCATTGCCAAACCTTTGAACAGGAGTGCGGCTAGGGGTGACCTTGTTATGATACAGACGTAGCTGCATTTCAAATGTAAATTACTTTGTTCTCATGCTTACAAGATACTGTTCTCTATCACAACAAGGTCACCTTCAGCCTCACTCCAAATCAAAGGCTTGGCAACTAGGTGCAGAACTGTAAAATAGTGCGTCAAAGCAAATTAGTATGAAAACTGAAAGTAGACCTATCATTCGATCGAGAGCTCGAAAATTTAACATATCATCGGGGAACAAAATGAGAAATAGAATGCTCTCACCGTGCATGATTGCGTTTTTTGTTCGCTTCCGGCCAAGTCGCCATCGTCAACGCTATAGAAACTGTTTTCTATGACTGGCGTATCTAGTTGTCGACGCCATGTTGGATACCGAGATAAGGAGGGACTGGATACTACATATCGAAACTCCAACCGAGGGTATAGTGCTGGGGATTCTTACCATATGGCGGTCAACGCTTGGTTACGAATTTTCCTTTACGGTCTCCACGGGTTTTTCGATGAAATAGTCTTCACATCGTTGTTTAATTTTGTCGAATCGAACTTCCTTGACTGGAAATTCCGTGGGCACTCTTCCTTATGGTCATTTTTCCAGTATGGATTTGGAAGCTTTGTGGTTGAACAAATGTACTTGACTTGCAAGGACAAGTGGTACTTGCCGATGCCTGTTCGAGGTGTTCTGTACGTCATTTGGGTGTATCTGTGGGAGTTCAGTTGGGGTGTAGTGCTTAGACATTTTAATGCCTGTCCTTGGGATTACAGTAATCAACAATGGAATGTTTACGGCTTGATAACTTTGCAGTATTTTCCGGTGTGGTATGTTGCAAGTTTGTATCAAGAATTATTGTCGGGATATCTACTAACGCTTTCCAAAGATCCGAAAGACACAGATCGGAAAGATTCTTGATGCATAAGAAATTAACAAGAAGCCGTAAGAAATTCGAGTCGATCAAAGGTGGGAAAATGAGAAGAATCAAGAAAAAGGGTCAAATGTTCTTATCATGTCACATGCAGACTCCTTCGGGAATGTCACGCAACGCCCAAGACTAAGTTGTGATTTAACCTTTTTGGAAACCCCAAGAGTGACCAACATCTAATTTCTCCTGACAGTAATAGTGATGAATCATTATTTATGAAGATGAGAAATGATTGCCAGCCTAGGTACCTTTGATTGTTAAGCAAATTCTCCTTGTCAGTAGGGGAGTATAGAGAGTATAGATAATGATGTTCAAGTATAAAGGGTAAATAAGTTCTCTGAGGTGGAATTTCTCTAGTGAATAAGGTTATGCCGGGAAGGGGTACATTTTTCAGGCTTGAGGTATCTTAAAAGGCCTAAGGGTAGAGATACAAGGGTGGAGATACAACAAGTTAAAATGTATTATTATAGATTAAACGTTAAAACTCTGATTTTAACTCTCTTCTTAACCATAAAAACTCCGATTGGTTAATAGCTTATAGTCATTATTCAATAATGTGCAAAGTTGACATGATAACCAACATCTACAGCAGATATTGTGTTGTCATGTAGAGTTCAAAGCCTGCCTACTGGTAGTTTCCAAGCCCCTTGTCAGTGTAGTGTGTCCTCTTTTGCAGATTGTAAAAAATATAATAAAACAATTATTGAATTTGGTTTTTGCATAATATCATAAAATATCTGCATTATCTGCCTCAGTCTTTGGCTTTAGCATATAACTAAAACCTCAGCATTGTTTATTCATGATATCATGTTAAACTTCATCAAATAATTTCGTATTGTCAAGTGTGAGAAAATGTTGGCCCTAACAATGGGTAGATTGAGGTCTCTTGGAGATAAGAAATTTCTCTTCCAATTTGTAACACTGCAGCACCATGGAAGATCCTCTGTATATTCATTTCAAGTAAGAGTGCTATCTGTTTAATTATGAATGGTTAGCCAGCAACTAATGGTATCTCCTGTCTGTAGCTGGTATTTGTGTGAGACCTCATATGTGCAAGACGATATATCCTGGATGCACAAACTCACCTACAAAGAGTACAGTGGTAAATATTCTAGGAAGGCTACTAGCAAACTGATAAAGACAAGACAGAGTCCTATGAACCACTCCTCTTGTGAAAAAGAGACTAGTACAGAACAACTCTTCTGCATGTGACTCAGTTTTAGCCTGACCTAAGCTTTTCTTCCTGAGGAGACATTTTTAAACATAATTGTACTATTTGGATGATCTAAATCTCCTTAATTGACAGGAAAGTGGTTTCATTACTTACAGGCCACAAGAAGGTTTATTTAAGAGAAGAATCTTTATGCTTTTTTATGGCACATCAGACACAGCCCAATGTACCCACTAGGCTCCACTGTTATGTGTCACTGATTCCATGTTGCGTGGCAAAATTGAGTTTATTGATTTTTTTCAAAATGGTTGAGGAAAAAGTTGTTTACAGTGACGTCACCTATGTGTCTGTCCTCCAATAAATCATAAGTAAGAACCAATCAAAAAACATGTATAATTCAGCTTTTTGTTATAATAAAACATACTGACATTGGCTATGATCTATTTTAGTGGGGTGCATATAGTTGGGTAGCAAGAGGAATGGGACTTTATAGGAGCATGAAGTCTATGATTTTTTTTCTCTTTTTCCGGGGGGGGGAGGGGAGGCATATAATATGGTAGCCTGTGGGATGGGCAAGTTTGTAGAGGCTTAAAGACCCAGACATAACTGTTCTTTTCCCTCTTCTAAACTTTCCCACCAATTTGTTTAGAGGCCAAGCAAGCTAATAATGTAACTCATTTCTAATTCATAAAACAATGAGACAGAGATAACCAATGACTAATTTATTCAATATGCCATATCTGTCCACCTAAAAGTATCCAGTATTGTTACTTGTGAAAAACCCTAGAAATGATGTCACTGTTTGTGGAGAGAAAATTTCAGTCACTAGTGATTAATAAACTTTTTGGCACCTTAAGCAATGATGCTTGCACATATGAGCATTCCCCACATGGTATAAACGATATCCTATGCCATCTATTTGTTCCTATGTCAAAGCACTGCACATCACCCAGGTCTTCTTTCAGGTATACTTCTTCATCGTCAACAACAACACCCTCTCCTCCAAACACATACACAGTGTCTCCGATACTCACAATACCACTTCCTGCTCTAGGAAGTCTAAGACTTGGTATCAGGCTCCATTGACTTGTGCTTGAGTCAAATACTTCACATGAGGGTTCTATAACCCCCAATACATTGTCAGCATACCCTCCAAACACAAACACTTTTGTGCCAACTGCCACAGCAGCAGCTGACCTTCGGACATTAGACATGCTTGCAATCTCAGTCCATTGGTCAGTTGATGGATTGTAACACTCTGCACTGTTTAGACAATTCACACCATTGTGACCAGCAATGACATAAATATGTTCTTGTAGTGCAACTGCACAGTGTCCAGCACGAGAAGTTTCCATTGAATCTCCTTGTCTCCACTTGTTAAGAACTGGATTGAATATTTCAACATCTCGCCATGAATACTCTCCACCAATTACATAAAGCTCCTCATTAAGCGATGTAACTGTACAGCCTTTTCTGCGCAACGTGGTGTCAAGTGTGTTCCACTCATTTTCTTTTGGGTTAAAGCAACACACCGGAGTTGATTCGCTTCCACCCATCACGTATAACACTCCGCCACAAACTGCAGCACCATGATGAACACGTGGTATAGGTATATTGGGTAAGGACACCCAGGTGTTAGAAGCAGGCACAAAGCAGTCACAAGTTTCCTCTGGGAAATCATCTTCTGAACCAGTGAGGATCACTACATTTTCATAACCACTTAAAGACAAGCGAGATCTTTGTGAAGTATCTTGAGAACAAGCTGGGAATACAACAAGATCCAAAGCATCGACAACTAACCTTGTACAAGTTAGGTTCTTCCTGATCAACTCTTCATGGAGGATCTTTCGCATGGTGTACTTGGACATTGAAAACCATCTTACACACTGCAACAGTTCCAGGAGTAAACATTCCCTGGATGGTAGATCATGTTTCAACCAGGCCATCACTGCTTCATACACTTCCTCTTCTTCTGCCACGTTTATCTCGTCCATGCAAATCAGTTCCTTAACTTTCTCTAAATTCAGCTTTCTAAAGTCTTCCGATTGCGTCACCCTTACAAAATGTTTGACTTTATAGGTAACTGCCGCTTGCTTTAGCGTTTCACAGTTATACCGAGAAGCAAATGATTCTAAGGCCATGCAATTGGTGGCATTTAATGTGCTTTCGAGGAAAAAAGCAGCTTTCGCTTTCAAACTTGGCATGATCAAATAGTCGGCGGCCATCACTAAGTCTTGCGCGTTAGCAAAGGTAGTGCTAACCTCCTCACCAGTGTAAATAAACCAAAGAACATCGCCGAATGTGGATGATTTGATCTCCCGTAACTCAACAAGACCGCTTTTTCTTTCTCTCAGAGGACTAGTAAACATACCTCGGAAGTAAGAGCTTGCCGCAGAAAGAACACATCTATGGGCCGGAAAATCCTGGCCTTGAACTCGAATGGTCGCATCACAAAGAGTGTTTGTTTCTCTGAGTTCGTTGAGTTTGTGGAGCAACTCATCTTTATAGCCATCGAAAGTTCTATCCTCAGCTTCTTTTAACGCGAACGTTGCCATGTTAATCAAATCACAAAGTGTAAAGGTAGCCTAAGTGTAGCCGTACCCTCCCCCGAAAGGTGAAACGGAAGGGAGGGTTAACCAATTAAAAGCCATTATATATTTTCTTGCAAAAGAGTGACTTCATAAAACACGATTGGTGTCAAGTTTTTGTAGAATTTCCCTCGCTTCCGTTTCAACTTAGCGGGGGAGGGTACGGCTACATCTGGGCTATGCACAAGCACAACGGCAGTAGATATGTCATGTATGAGGAAACAAAGTATAGTATGGTGACAATTTTCCAACGCATGGCACACTCACTGGCTCACTGCGTGTGTTTCAACCTCGTTCCCACGGTCCTCTCTGTTGCTCCCTCGAGAAAGGAGGGGAAGAATGAGGACCCTGGGATCGAGCTTGGAAATAACCATGAAGCGGGTGCGCAATGATACTGCAAATGAAGATGGTGAGTGATAAGCCTGGTGAAAGATGATATTAGTGAATGACAGTGGTATACTTGAAGAAAATGAACTTCAAGTGCTCCCACTAGGAGTCAAACCCACAACCTCCCATTGGTACTAAAGATGTGTACCACTTTCTAAAACCTCTTGCAAATGAGTCTCTCATTGCCTAGTGGTAGAGTGCCAGAAATGTTGATTGGAAGGTCATTGGTTTGACTCTTATTGGGGACTCATTTGAAGCACTCGGTGAAAGGTGGTAGAGTGTGATGAGACTAACCTTATTGACCAGTAGATAAGTCATGAGATCAGCCTGATTATTCCGTAAACATGCATAAGATTATAACAAAACGATTAGGGCACGTAAAAACAAAGAGTATAGTTGGCAGAGGTGCTTGTCACGTGCACAGCATAAAGGCCCACAAGAAAGCTGAGGAATGACACCACTCACTCTAAAAAATTTAATCTTTAGAAACAGGCAGCCTGATGAAAGATATTCCCACAAATACATTATTATTCCCCTGGAACTACTTCCAATGATGGATGAAATTGGCAGATCCATGGTTTATGAAAATGTATTATTCCAGTGATGAGAATTGAAGTCAGTTGCAAACACATGGAATGCTCATACAATTTAAAATGATGGAAAATTATCATTTGTAGTGTATGGTGTCATTCTGTGTCCAATGAGTGAGGTGTGAAGAAAACTCTACAGAGATTTATTTTTACATGAATACAAGACTGACAAGCATGACAGGATAACTTTATACATCATACTCCACATTGTCTAAGTTATCCAATTATAAAAATTTGTAGTTTTTGTCTTGTAACATCTCTCCCATGCAACTGCCAACTCCCAATTTTCCTTTATCTCTTGCCTCAATAGAGAGGAAAAGATATGAATAAGTCCCAACTGCAGATTGTAATAACCTTGGACAGAAACTTCAAATTAAGGCAACAACCACTGCCAATCAATGATAAACTCTACATCAGGAATGGCAGCTGATAGTTTTTGTATGTAGTTAACAAAGGATTTAAACTTCTTGTACTGAGAAGGCTTGGCCCAAAATAGCTTTTCACAGTAGCAATGAAAACAAAAGAAATTCTGGAAAGATTCTATTGAAACAATATACAGCAAGTCAATAAATAGCCAATTGGTTCAACACAAGACAAATGAAACTTAAATGTCATAGCTAAACTTTTGAAGCACGAAACAGTCCTTAACCTGATAGAACAATTGAATGATTCATGGAAATTTAGATCACATAGTGCTGTTTAACATTTGGCAATTGTTGCTTTCATTTATGATTACCTCACACCTTGTGGGCTCCAACCCAATTCATATAGTTGAAATTCTACAAAAATTGAAACTTCATATGTGTGCTGAATTGGTTCTAAAAAAACAGCAATCTTTCTCTATGGCGACAAAGAATGAGAGTTTGTGAGAAGAGACAGCCTAAGTTAGGTTGCCAAAAGTGGCTTAGTAGAAGAGCTTTGTTAGAGACAGCTAGGATTTAATGTTATTCTTCTCTTGTCCAGAAGATTGCACATACAATACAACAAAAATAACATACAAAAATAATTGAACATCTCCAAACCCCTGTATGATGTTACTATAAAACCCTCTTACTAGAAAGGGCTAATCACTGGTGCCTATTTTACACATCTCTCTAGAAAAAAGACAATTATGCTAACTTGTTAATTATCATGCTAAATTATTGCAACAAAAGCATTGACTGTCATGTTAGTATGGTCTGTTAATTTTTAAGTTTTTAGTAGAATAAGGCAGACCCACAGTATTAGATTTGTACAACTCTTATGTTCAGTAGAATCCTTGAGTAAAATTATTTTATCTGTGGTAGGTCTTTTTTTTTAAAGACAACTTCACAGTTTTTTTCTATTGATTTCACATATTGTTGGCCACAAAACCTCAGCAACTGCCCCATACTTAAGTGGAGAGATACCTTTGGTGACCAGGAATTACAGTGCAACTCAGGAAATTGAGAACACCAGAACTATTTATTGAATTATAAATCTTAACTGTTCATGGCTATTGTAATCAGTTTGTGGTTTTGAGGTTTGCTTGCATTTCCTAACTTTTATTATGATTAGTCACTGAACACATGACCTGTCTCAATCCTATCAAAGTGTTCACAGTTTTCCATATCTTTCAGAATTAGATGATATCAACTCCTTAGGCAATTTGAGCAATGATGCTTGCAAAAATGAGCATTCAGATGGTAAAACTGATATTTCGTACCATTCATTTTCTCCTATATCACAACATAGCACTTCCTTCCTGCAATGCTTCTCATCCTCCCCTCCAAACAAATAAACCTTGTTTCCAGTACTCACAATACCACTTGCAGCACGAGGAATACTAAGACTGGGCATTAGGCTCCATTGATTGGCTCCTGGGTCAAATATTTCACAGGAAGGTTCTATGGTATATCTTGTCATGTCACCAAATCCTCCCACAATAAAAAGGTTTCTTCCAACTGCCACAGCAGCAGCACACCTTCGTGCTTGAGACATACCTGAGATCTCAGTCCACTGGTCAGTTAATGGATTATAACAATCAGCACTGCTTTGACAAACCTCACCATTGTGACCTGCAATGACATAAATATGTTCTTGTAGTACAACTGCACTGTGTTCAGCTCGAGCAGTTTCCATTGAGACACCTTGTCTCCATTTATTGAAGACTGGATCATAGATTTGAACATCATGCCATGAATCCTCTCCACCTATTACATACATTTCTTCTTGAAAAGATGTGACTGTAAAGCCTTTTCTATCCATGGTCATGTCAAGAGTGCTCCACTTAATTTGTTTTGGATTAAAACAACACACTGAATTTGAGTTCTTTCCACCCATTACATACAACTGTCCGCCACACACGGTAGCACTCTGAGAATATGAAGGCACTTGGGGGAGGGATAACCATTCTGAGCTAGAAAGTACAAAACCTAGCGTTTTTTGGTCTAAAAAACTACAATATTCAACATTTAGGATCACGACTTGTTCATATTTTCCTAACGAAAGGCGGGGATTTAGTGTTTTGTCTTGGAAATATTCTGGAAATAGAGACAAATCTAGCGCAGTTATCACTTCTCTCATACAAATTGGGTCCTTTCTGACTAACTCTTCGTCCAAAATCATTCGTAATCTGTACTTGGATATTGAAAACAGTCTAACAAATTTCAGAAGATCCAAAAGTAAAGATTCTCTGAATGGTAGATCATGTTTTACCCAGGCCATTACTGCTTCATACACTTCCTCTTCCTCGGCCACGTTTATCTCGTCCATGCAAATCAGTTCTTTAACTTTCTCCACATCAAGCAATCTGAAATCTTCGGATTTCGCGACATCTACGAATTTTTCCATCTTATAGGCAACTGCAGCTTTTTTTAGTGATTCGCAGTTGTACCGAGAAGCAAACGATTCGAAAGCCAGGCAATTAGAAGCATTCAATGTTCCTTCGAGGAAAAGGGTTGCTCTCCTTTTTAACCTTGGAATGATCAAATAGTCTGCGGTCATCACCAAATCTTTTGCGTTGGAAGAGTCAATTCGCGTTCTACCAGTATAAATATACCGAAGAACATCAGTCAGTGTCGAAGATTTGATATCCTGTAACTCTACAAGATTACTTTCCTTTTCTTTCAAGTCATTTGAAAACATGCCCCGGAAGTATGGGCTGGCAGCTGATAAAACACATTTGTGAGCAGGGAAGTCCTGTCCTTGGGCTCGAATTATCGTATCACAGAGAATGTTCGTTTCTCTGAACTCATGGAGTTTTTGGAGCAACTCGTCTTTAAAATCCTCGTAAGTTTTCTCCTCTGCCTCTTCCGCCGTAGTAGTCGCCATGGCGGTCGCCACTACTTCTCACGTACGCATAAGGTATGTCGTGTAAGAGAAAACGATTTGTAACGTACACCATATCACTCAATCATAGTAGGTTACTTGATTCTTTAAAGGGGTAAGTTTCTAAAGAAACTGTGGTGCTGCGTCGGTGGGAGAGTATAGCAGGTAATTTAGTGTTAACAACTGGGTTGAAAACGTAAATTAGCCACTGTAAAGGGTAAAAAAGCTGACGTTTCGAGCGTTAGCCCTTAAACACTAAATTACCTGCTATACTTGATTCTTTGCTCATCTTGGGCGAGCAATGTGTGGGTATGAAAAAAAGGTGATAGCGTGACCTTCTGTGTGACGTATAGAGCAGTCTTACAGCAGCCGCCGTACAACTATTTAAAAGTCAACAATTTTGGATACTCTTTCTATTCTGTTTAGGTAGGAGTGATATTCATCTTTTTGCGATCATTAAATAAATGTATACAGAGCTCAGTGAAAGGTTTGGAGCGCGCCATGAAGAAAGGTAGAGTGAGACTGGGGAGAAACGCTTGTCACGCAAGTCTTGTCATGGCAAGTGAGCACATACCACACGCACTACCGCGCGATTCGTACTCGACAATCAACCATTTGCCTGGAAAGGCAATATTATAGCATGGTGGAGTTGTGACTTGTATGGCATTCCTATAAATACATTCTTGTCCTGTGGTGAACTTCTGCTAATGACCGATGTGAAGAAATCCATCCGCCACCATTTAACCCTTTAACTCCCAGATCAAATTTGAAATTCTCCATACAGTTAGTTCATTTAGTATTGGATCGACCAATTATCCCCAACTGATACTTTTCTTTATTCTCATCACTTTCCCGGTTGATACTGTACTGATATTGTAAGGAAAAATTCTGTCTTGGTCACTCAAGGGAATTAAAGGGTTAAAATCTCTGTACCGTGATAAGAACTTCAATATCGATCTCGAAAATCGGGTAGCATTGAAATTGAAAAGAACGTCAAAACTCCTAAAATTAATATTTTTGTAGAAAGCTGGTTTCCAACCCGAGATATTATATTTATCATATCAACTTATGATCAGGTTTTGATCGTCTGAGTTTTGGAGTACACCTGATAAACGAATGCCGGAAGTAAAATGATTAATTAAGTTTCGATAACCTGAATGGAAGTCACTGATAATCAGCGCCAAATTAATTGAAGTTTTTAGAATGGTATTTCTTATTTTGACTCGGTAAAGTTGATTGATTATCATTTCCTTGATGCTTTATTGTAAGCCTTCCTCTCTTGTGATTGGTTTGTTCATATCCTATTGAGTCATGCCAAGTAATCACCGCTTAGTTGGGTACATTCGACTCTAAATGCTGTCGTTGGTTCAGTTCATTGGAAAAAATCTCAGGGTTGGTGTGACTGTTATTTTTCCCATTCCTAAAGGCAATGAGGAAAATAAAAAAGCAAATAAGAAACTCTAAAAGTCTTAAAGATGACTGCACCGCAAACCAAGGCCAGCTTTTGACATAACCAATATCGGAAAAAACACCGTATTCCCCAATAGCATTGTACAGTGACAGCGAAAACTTGAATATTCCTATACAAGATGCCCAACACATCTGAATAAATAATCTCTTAAGTCGTCTGAAGTCTCTGTCTAACGCTCGGTTGAAGAAAGTTCTACCCAGAGATGATTTTAAATTGCGCCACATTCTGATTCCGGCAACTGAATACCCAACTGACACCGCTAGTCCCCAGACCGCAAATGTAACATGACATGTAAAGATCATCACCTTCGCTTCATGATGAAACCAAACCACTAAGTCAGACATCAGTAAGTAAACGACGTTAACCAGAGTTATTGAAAGCAGGCACGGTAAGTTTTTAAGACGGGCGGGACCCAGTGAGGTCATAGTAGTTTCCAAAAAGATCAGAAGCATGATGCTAAAACTTGATGTGATACAAGCTGTGGATATTCCCCAAGAAATAATGCAGAAGAGGAGCTGCAAGTCTGTTGTGTCGCTACTGGAGGCATAAGGATCCCAAAAGAGGATCAAAGATCGAAGAAATCCCGCAACAAGCAAAATGAAGTTCATTACAGTGCGATGGGCTCTGTGTTGTGTTAAGACAGTTTTACGAGAAGAGATACAGCACATAATCGCGTACAGCGCTACAAGAACAAAAAGTCCTCCGAAACCATAGACATGAGCTTTCCACAGCCAATTCCATTCCTTGATGGCTTTTAGCCAGTTTGGGGAAGGTTCAGCCCACTTACGAAGTAAGTTGTCGCCAGTCGACTCATTTGATGAAGAAAAGTGATGAGGTTTTTCGTCTTTGTTGGAGTTCGATGTCATGTTTTTTCGTTTGCTGTAGGTGGGACACTGACAAAGTTTGCAAAGTTCCAAAGTCTCATCTGTGGTACCACGGTTCAGCCGTCTTATTTTACACTTGACCTTGCCCGCCACTTCAGTATGTGCGAGCTTAAATGGTGAGCCGTGAGCAAATAGTCCTAGATAAAACTGTATTGATCTTTGAGATCTGTCTGGCTTAAAACATATAAAGATGATTTACATGTTTAATCAAATATCCGGGAAGAGTAGAGCAGAATTAAGCTTTTTAATCCGTTTGGGAAGGCTTCATCCGGCTGAGTGATAAATGAAGGTGATTGTTTTCAATTCTGGTTAAATTATAAAATTCAGTAGTCTGACGTTTGCGTGGGTAGCAAAAGGATGTTTTTTCCTACTTTTAATATGTGTAAAAAGGAAGTTGATTTGAATTTAAATTAAAAGATTTTTCACATTATTTGTCGATTTTGACAGCTTTTAATGCGAATGTGGTTCTGAAAATGCAACTGTTAACCAGATTTGGTGTAATAATAAAAATAAGCAGCTCGAAAAGAACTTACAAAGTGGCTCGGAGAATCCCTGTTGTCTTTTAGTGATTCACACTATTTGTTGAAAGAACCACCGAGTTGCTCGTTAAGTCTAAAAAAAATTCTGCTGAAAGAAAGAAAAGGTGATGCGACGATTTCATATTTGTTCATTTTAAAGCCCAGCTACTAATTAAAAAGCAACATTTTGGCCACAAATCTGTGAAAATTTATCACACGGATAAGTATAATTAAAATGTAAAATTTTCAATTTCGCTGAGTTGAAGAGATAATTTGATGATCACTTAGTTTACATTTGATGTAAAGGGGGTTTATTCACTTTGATAGCAACTGAAATTTAACATATGTTCATACACGGATATGTCAGTAGTCTTTGTACCTTGAATTGAGTCATGAAAGAGTTCATTGGGTGTATCTGATTCAAACGCACAATCCAGTTTATCGCAACAAATGAATAATAAACAATTATTCACCTAAGTTCTGGGCTCGGTAAATATACACCACTTTCACTGACACTAAGTTGAATAATTGTTTTAGTATATACCAAACATACCAAAATAATTAGTTTATTCCTTTCAACATATCGAAAATGGTCGGAAATTAAACTCCCACGCGCGAATTTGTCTCCTTGACTGCTCGGAGCTGGATAGTACTTGAAATTCACTACCGAACCTGCCAATCAGCCCGCGAGATGAGCAGTAATCACTTGTGTGGTATATGCTAACTCCTAATAGCCTATATACAACCCTTATATTGTAATTATGATCGCAAGCAGGCCAGGCAAAATAAATATCATCAAAAAAGTTGCTCCTACACCTACGTGTAATGAGTCCTGCAACGCTTTTGAGCCATGCCTATTGTTAATAACACTCTGGGATGCTTTTTTTACTGAGTTACATAAATGAAAATGAAAATATGGAGTTGCAATAGGTTTTTTTTACGATTAATCTAGCACATCCAAGCTCTACAGGGCAGTCATGTATTGTGACTTCAAGCCCGTAAGAGAAAACTTTATCCAGCTGAGTTATTTAAACAAGAATTATCATTTTCGTTGAGTCTTGGATAAAAAGAAGAGTCTGCGTTGGCGGTAAGATGAATCAATAAATCTAACCTTTAAAGATGCAAATCCATGTAAAGTTTAGGATGATTGATTTGAAATTTGACATCTTAACATTATAACATGCAGTGCAATAGATAAGCATGCACCTTGCGCAGCACGAAATTATGCGCTCTGTGGGGTAAGTTTCTGTTAGGCACGCAAGTAGGCTGGACTTTATAACTGAACAAATTCACCTGTTAACTTTTGATGTCACTTCTTCTCTCAATGCAAATCGACTGGAGCTCCGCGGTTGGAAAAAAAATGGATTTATCACCTGACATACTTAAAAGACAAGAAAAAACAATTTTTATCATTGCACCACCTAAAATCGACATTTAGTTGGCTTTCCCAAAGATTCGACATAAAAGGTCATAGGTGCTTCTGTTATTAATTAATAAGTTAAGAACATGAAGCACAATCATAGTATACAAGTCGTTGAATCTCATCGTTCATGGATCATGCCTTTGAGGTATCAACGTTTGCAATCGAGTGGGTACATTTGCACACGCCCATACATTGTGCTGACGCAGCGCTATTTTTCAAAACGACAAGCCCCCGCCAAGATTTGGGCTTAAAACCTAATCACTTCTTGTGACCTCAAGTGTCCGGTTGACCGTCAACTATGCATACTAAGTGTTTGAATACGCTTACTAAGTATACACAACAGTTTCTTTCAGGTAACCCTTTCTTTTCGACTAGCTGCTTCTTTCCAAAACGACAAGAATTCTACTTGGTAACAAGAATTGATTAATAGGAGGGCCTGTTCAGTTCTTCCAATTGAACACCTCGAGTATTTTTGTCGTTATTTCTCGTCATTACATTATGAAAAGATAAGTTGATAATAGACAAACCCATCAGAAATTCAAACATCCTCAGTGATGTCTGAACGGCAAACCAAGGCCAGCTTTTAACGTAAACGATATCTGCAAAAACGCCATACTCCCCGATAGCAGTGTATAGCGACAGCGAGAACTTTATCATTCCACAAAAAGATGCCCAACACATTAGAAAAAATAATTGCTTTAGGCGTTTGGAATCCAGCGCTGAATTGCAGCAGCAAGCATTCTCACCCAACGATGATTTTAAATTGCGCCACATTCTGATTCCGGCAACTGAATACCCAACTGACACCGCTAGTCCCCAGGCCGCAAATGTAACATGACAAGTAAAGATCATCACTTTCGCTTCAGGATGGAACCAAACCACTAAGTCAGACACCAGTAAGTAAAAGATGTTTACCAGAGTTATTGAAAGCAGGCACGGTAAGTTTTTAAGGCGGGCGGGACCCAGTGAGGTCTTAGTAGTTTCCAAAAAGATCAGAAGCATGATGCTAAAACTTGATGTGATACAAGCTGTGGATATTCCCCAAGAAATAATGCAGAAGAGGAGCTGCAAGTCTGTTGTGTCGCTACTGGAGGCATAAGGATCCCAAAAGAGGATCAAAGATCGAAGAAATCCCGCAACAAGCAAAGCGAGGTTCATCACTGCGCGATGAACTCTGTGTCGGGTAAAAATCGTTTTGTGTGAGGCTATGAGGCAAACTGCCGAGTAAAATGCGACTGCTACAAAAAGCATTGCAAAGCCATAAACGTGAAGCTCCCAAAGCCATTTTAGTTTCTTGAGAGCTTTGATCTAGTTCGGTGAAGGTTCAACCCAAGGTCGCTGGAAAGGATCACTCGGTGAAAAATTCGAATAAATGTGAATGGTATTATTCTTTGTGAGAGAATTGATCCTATCAGAATGAATGGTAGAGTTCATTTCTCTGTCCTTGATTTAGATTGAAGATTGCAATGTTTAACTAGGAAGATTTCAAAGTGTTTTTTGTAGAACTCATCACATAAACATGGCAATATCACCACGCGAAACCCATCAAAAATGCAAATAGCGTGGGTAGATACTTCTGTTTATTTGAATATTTCATAAAGATGGGTATTCATTGTGGGGAATTCGTGAAGAAAAGTGCAACAATTAATTTATTTATTGGATCACGACACAGCTTTGTATGCAGGTTTTTCTTGTTGTTTTGAAAAATGCGAGGACTTTGAAAGCCACAACTTTGGGAGGATTTTCCTTTAAATTTGCGCAATGATCACGGCAATATTTAGCTGAAAATAATTAAAAATTACGATGCATGCATTCTGTTGATGGCAGACCACCATCACAAAGAGCGATTTGAAAAAAAAACTGAGGACTCCATAATGTCCCTATCATTAACATCCCACCAAATGAAGAAAAGCTTTCACTATCGATTCTTGCTCATGTCAAATCTGAAGGAGGTGCACTCTGTGAACCACTTGTCCTGGTTACTATTTTCGGGAGAACATGTGGGTGGTTAGCTTCCTGAGCGACCATATCAACTTAAATTCGTGAAGGATTTAATGGATTTAAAGTGAGATTTTGGGTGGCTTGATTGAATTCTCTATGATGATGACGATATCGAACTGGTAAATATGGTGAACAAACCACATCAAAATTACTGAGGTTCGTTGTAACTCAG